TCTAATCATTTCGTCCAATGGAAATGCGCCAACAATGCACATCTTTCAACCACACGACAATGGTTACAACCGCACGACGAATGGCGGCCTGCTGCACATAATGGAGACTAACGGCCTTACCGTTCATGAGACCATGAGCCGACCTCTAAAAAGGCTCATAGGTCTTTCTGCAGCGCCATGCAGAACACTTCCCCCTAAAGGGAGTGTCCGAGGGTCTTCTCGAGTTCCGCGGCCATTTTCTTCACTTGTTCTTGATCGTGTTGGTGAACCCAGCGGCGGAAAACGATGGGAATGTCTTCATAGAGGGAGCGCACGGGCTCCATGAGGCTTCGTCTTCATCGAGGCCAAGCCAGTAGCCAAGGGCTTGGTATTAGCCGTTTTCTTCGCGGACGTTGCCAAGCTTGGAACCCTTCCTTGCCAAAGGCGATATGGTCCGCCAGGTCTTCTGTCACATCGCGGCCGCCTTCGCAATACGTCTTGAGTCGGCAGGCGTGTTGGAGAGCCAAATCGTAAGGCTGCACCAACTGCTGGGTCTCCATGACATAGTCGGTCACGACCCGGACGATCTTGCTTGGGCCACGCCAGTGCAGGGACAACTTGTTGCCTTGGCGGGCCACTTGGCCAACGAGGACAAAGTCGCCGATCGCAAACTTCTGCAACTGGACGGCCTTGGACTTGGCTCGGGCTTGGCGTCGCATCTTGGCGCTTGTCGCGGCTACTTCACGGTGCAGCTTTGTGGAGCTCGTTCATGTACTTCTTCTGCGTAGAGTCGAGCCAGTCGATGTCGGCGACCTCCTTGGTTACGGTGTTGACAAACGCTGACAGGGGTGTCGTCGCAGGTAGGCCAGTGAAGGCGGTCACCGGGGCCATACCGCTAAGTCGGTCGCTCGTTATGTGGTTCAATGCACCTTGTACCAGGGCCAAGATGTGGTGCCAGTCGGTCGCGCGCAGCTTCAAATCGCTGCTAAGCGTCCTCACGGCGCGGAGGATCAGTCGGTTGACTACTTCAACGGTTCGTTCGCCCAAGGACAGTAGGCGGTGGTGAAGTGGTCGTGGGCGCCGGCGGCCTTGCGGATCTTGTCGATGGCTTCGTTCTTGAAATGGGACCCGCTGTCGGAGACCCA